CATCAACCTATCCTGCCTCCTGCTCCCTGCCCCAACACACACACACACACACACACACACACACACACAAACACACACACACACCACTTGCCAATAAATTTCCCATACACTAAACACAGAACAGTGGTTATGATGAAAACAAAAGAATTAGACTTCCAAATTTTAAGTCTTTTATCCTTTATGTCTGTACTTGACATGTGAAATAGTTAAGAGTTCTTAGAGGCCACAAGTAAATGTAGAAGCCGAGTGGTGAAAGAATAAGAAACAGGCTCAAAGGGTGTTTTTCACAGACAAACACTATGATTTGGGGGAGAAGAGTGGGGGTTCAAAATTCAGAAGGAACCCAGGACATTTTTGGGGAAGAAAGATGATAGTGTCTCTCTATAGTGGCATCCAACATTGAGAGTTGCTCTAAATCAGACAGAAAGATGAGAGTCAGTTCAACAAAAATGAAGACCTCACAGATGCTGTTCATATATTTGCCTGCTGGGGTCATAACACCCTTGTTATACACCAACTGGAGTTCTATTTTGGATAACACATAGTTGAAACGCTACCCATAAAAATTTAAAGAGAATTATAGGTTGTGATAGCCCTCATCTTAAATTACTCATTTTGAGTTTAATTACGCATTTTCAAATTTTGAAACTAAAAGTTATCATATTTTATAATGCTGCCATATGGGTGATGATTATGAGTTAGATTCTCAATCCCCAGAATATATAAAACATGTGTGTATGTGTGTGTGTGTGTGTGAGAGAGAGAGAGAGAGAAAGAGAGAGAGAGAGAGAGCACAATGTAGACAACCTCAGATCCATTAATTTACAATTTGAAGACAACTGTTTAAAACCTTTGAAGTCATGGCCTAAAAGCATCACTTTCCCGAGACCCTCCAAGTTCAGCTGCTTTCCTTTCAGACACTGTCATTACCCAGCCCCACACCTACATGTCTCCCTTCTTGCCAGATTGGTTTTTGGGCACAAGTCCCAAAAAAAGATATCTGCTCATCTCAGTCTGTCACAGCCAACATACTCAGCTGAGATCAACACTTGCCATGTTCCTGCCCAAAAATAAAAGAGAAATTTCCTTCTAATTATTCCCAAACTCCATTGCATTCAGTCTCTCAACAGCGTTTTGATTTTCATGCTCTGCATGTTCTGCTCTTAGAAATTGGTTTATACTTGCTTCCTCTGGCTCCTAATGCAGCTGGGTCTCCAGGCTTTGGTTAGGACTCACAATAGAGACTTTGATTGCCTCCCTTTACCAACATATTTCATTCCTCTTTCGCAAACTCTTCGCCTGCACCACCAGCAGGAGTTTTCAGGCTGTGAAACTCAGGCTCTTTCAAATTCACTTGTGGGTCTCATTCTCCATTGTGGGGTAGAAGACTTAGGCTGCTGCCCAAGACTCACTTGTCCTGGATTTTTGTCCTTCCTACCCAGGCAAATAACGTCTATCCACATCCTCAGCTGTGTCTAATTCCTTCAGCTTCTTCCTCAAGCTATCAACAGTCCAAGACCTTTATTTATTTAAAGAAGTATCTGACTATAATCCATGCCTCTGTGTTGTCTAACCATATTAGTCCCAAACTATGGCCTCAACTCCAAATCTATGGCTCCACCCTAAAACAACCCTATATCATTCATTAAAGTGCTTAGAGAAGAACAATGGATAGGACCATTGCTTACAACAGGAAGCCTCCATTCTCTAAACATCTTCCTCCTAAGGAAGACCCAAATCCCATGTGTGTAAATACCTCTAGCTCTAGAATCCTTTCTTCAGATGAGCCCATTCAATACAAGTTAGACAAGTGATAGTGATGGATTTATTCCCAGATATTTAGGAGAGGTAGATGCTTCCAAGAATCTTTGGAGAAAATGTTAAATAAACCCAAAGAAAGGTACTAAAGACTTGAGTTAAAAGACATGATGCACAAACTGTAGATCCTATTCTGGCTAATCTAATAATATCAGAAGATAAATACATGTAGAATCTTCAGAAAGGCAAGTTCATAAGTCCACACAAGGGGAGTATTTGGAGTATATGAACTTGTCTGTAGTGATATGCTAAACTAATTATGGTTTACCTAACAATGACCTCTGATTTTGACTTAATACAGGGCGGGTTGGGGCGGGGGGGGGGTTGAAGGATGTAAAGCAGAAGAGAAGCAAGGGACCCTCAAGGAAAGAAGATACAGAACAGCAATCAGGGGAAATAAATTTCCCTCTGAGGTAAAAAGAGCAATAGAAGCAGGAAGGAAAAAACAGAAGCAAGCTAAATTAAAAGGCACTACACAATAATTGGGCTGGAGCGATAGCACAGGGGGTAGGGCACTTGCCTTGCACGCAGTCAACCTGGCTGACCCCAGTCTGATTCCTCCGCCCCTCTCGGAGAACCTGGCAAGCTACTGAGAGTATCTTTCCCACATGGCAAAACCCTGCAAGCTACCCGTGACGTATTCAATATGCCAAACACAGTAACAACAAGTCTCACGATGGAGATGTTACTGGGCCCACTCAAGCAAATTGATGAAAAACGGGAAGACAGTGCTACAGTGCTACACAATAATTTCTGCATAGCACTGTATCATTGGTTCAGACACCTGATGTGGACTTCCTGCTGAAATTCACAGAAAACTTAAAAAACAGGTATGAACTGTAAATGTCTGGCTGACTTTTAATTTTATTATTTTTATTGTATTTGGGGTGAGGGGGTTAGGCCTCACCCAAAAGTACTCATGGCTGATTTCTTGCTCCATACTCAGGTGTCACTCCTGGAGGTACTTGGGGAACAAGATAAGGTACCAGGGGTTGCACCTTGGGTCAACCACATGCAAGGTAAGTGTCTTACCCCCTGAACGACCCTGTTTACCATTTTAGAGAAAGAGGTAAAAGCACAAGAGTTAAAGTGTTTGCCTTGCACTTGCACAAGGCAGACCACAGTTCAATCCCCAGCACCACATATAGTTCCCTGAGCACCACTAGGAGTGATCTCTGATTGCAGGGCCGGGAGTAAGCCCTGAGCACTTATGTGATGGGTGTGCCCGCCCCCCTGAAAAAAAAACACTCAAGGAAGCTAACTGATTTGTGGTTGTCAAGTAAGGACTTGTGTCTCTAGCTTTCAGGCTTCAAAACCCAGAGTCTTGGTGGGTGTGAGTCCCAATAGTATTCTGAAAATCATTCAAATAGGAATTCCTTCCATGTGGTTTCATTCACACAGGTGAACAGAAGCAAACCAGAGGTCATGGTGAGAGAAGTCAGAACACTGCTTTTCTCGGAGTTGAGGCTGATTTACAATTCCATCCCTTAGTTAGGGTGCAGGCCTCAGACTGGTACAGTTTTCAAAACTATCTTACTGTATATTTAGGAGCCATATGTGTGTGTGCACTTCACCTCAGCAAAAACCAGCAGCAACATCTATCTGACATCTGGATTTGAAGCTTATGCCCATGCAACTTTTTGTGTGTCTAGAACCACTTTCCAGAAAACTCCTGAAATTCATTGTGACAGAGTCACAGGTTCCAAACATAACATTTAAATCCTGTAGTCCTTGCTCATGTTTGAACTGAAATGTGAACAAATTTAAAATTCTCCCTGTAGTAGATGCAGGGAGGAAGAACTGGCTCTGTCGTGTTTTAAGGTGATGTAAGTATACTGAGCAGTATTTTCACTGAACACGAGTGGTTTCTGTTCAGAGTGAGGAGGGGAAGTTGAGGGGAGTGCTTGGGGCTGTGACAATTTCATACCAGATAAAATGTCTGGAAGCTCTTACTCAGCTCTAAACAGCTTTTACAATGTAAGAATTTGTACCCAGGTAATCAGAAGGGTCTGTGAATCCAGTGTTAAAAGTAGTAGCTTTTTTCACCAATTCCGAGATTGGTATGTGTGCACACATTCGTCCCCACGAATCCCATTGCCAAGACTCTTTCACTGACTTATGCTACTGTTATTCCCAGTTATTTTAATTTGTAAAAAAAAAAGTTGGTTGTTTTATACACTTAATAGCCTAATTATTTTGTTCTTGAATATATCTAACAAAAGATAGGGTATCGCCTTCTCCAGAGGGAATCCCAGTGACCATGAGCTTCTACGAGCATGGCTTTGGCATGCGGGTACCAGGACTATTTTCCGAACTGCGCAGCCGCTTACCCAGCTACAACATTTCCTGATATGCAAAGTGATCATTGGAAAGTAAATGATCTAGCATTTGTCCTTGAAAATCAGGCTTGGGTGGTGGTGGGAAAATCTGAGCAAAAGATAATGCCAAACCAAAATACATCTGAACTGTGTATTTAACTATGGTGTATGTCGCCCTGGGAGGGGAAGGGTCCCTCTGCCTGTCCCCCTTTGCGGCAGTGACATGGTGGCCTGCATCTTTTAGAGCCAGGTATGAGAACAGCCAGGTATGAGACTGCATTGACAAGGCACGTGGGGCTTCATGGGATAGGGGTGGAATTGGCCCTGCTCCCCAGCATGACAATGCTCAGGGTTGCCACCCTCAAATACTTCCTCCGGCTTCTGACTGACCATGATCCCAGAGGCACACATACCAATCTCAGAACCCAGGGGCTTCTGGCAGTAATCCCTCTAGGTTTATTACTAAAATATCAGAAATCCAAATTCGCGTGGCCACTATTGTGGCTACACCACATCATATGCTCTTCATAATTAGCAATATAAACCAAATTTTCTAATGATGTCTTTGTGGCAGGTCTGAATGTTGGGGAAAATTCCAAATAACAATGTTGGGTCTTTTGTCGTAATATTGAAGGTGATCAACATAGAGAGAATAAGTGGAAATCTGCCACACAGGTCGGGGGGTGGGTGGGAGAGGGATATACTGGGGTTCTTGGTGGTGGAAAATGTGCATTGGTGAAGGGATGGGTGTTTGATCATTGTATGACTGACCGAGACTTGAACTAAAAGGCTTTGTGACTATTTTCACGGTGATTCAATAAATAAATTAATTAATTTTTTAAAAAAAAGATAGGGTATACTTACTCGCAGAGAAGGATTCCATTTTCTAAGCCTGTCCGAAAATCTTTGTCACCAAAACTCCTGCCAGTTACTTGCTGGAAAAGAAGAAAAGAGGGGAAAAAATAGAATAAATTTCTCTTAATTCATTGGGAGCCCAGTGATTTGTTTTTATTATTCAAGAGTCTTTGAATGACTGGTGGACTTTCAAGAATGGGGAAAATCTGTTGGATCTTAATTTCCTTTCTATGTGTAGTTTTGCTTACATCAGCTTGTCTTAAGCTTACACCATTTCTTTGACACTCCCCCTTCTCCTATCTCATTACTTTAAAAAAAAATAACCGTTGTTCCTGATAACTATATCACTTTGGGAATTTGGCCATCAAGGGTAGGGTGTTTGCTTTGCATGTGGCTGCCCTGAATTCAATCCGCAGCACCCATATGGTTCCCTGAGCATAGAGCCAGGAGTGATCCCTGAATGCAGAGCCAGTAAGCTTTGAACACCAAAGGGTGTGGCTCAAAAAATAAATAAATAAAAATAAAAGTGCATTCCTACGGGAGCACATGGATGAATCTTGCTTTAAAAATAAAACAAACTCCTAAGAGAAGGACCACATGGAGGGTGCGGGAACCACAGATCCCGGAGGGAAAAAAAAACAAAACAGGTTCCAAAAAGAGCCGAGATCACCTGCAAGTTCCAGATGGGGTAGGTGCCGCATCCCGCCTCCCCCAGATGGAACCCCGGTGACCAGAAGCCTCTACAAACACAGCTCGAATATGCGGGAACTAGGACTTTTTCTCAAATCTACCAGACTACAGCTCCCAGGTAACCTCTGATTCCAGAAGTCACGCCCACAGCCCGCCCCCCAGCGCCATCTTTGAAGCATTCAGCCTAAGAGAAGGACCACATGGAGGGTGCGGGAACCACAGATCCCGGAGGAAAAAAAAAAAAAACAGGTTCCAAAAAGAGCCGAGATCACCTGCAAGTTCCAGATGGGGTAAGTGCCACATCCCACCTTCCCCAGATGGAACCCCAGTGACCAGAAGCCTCTACAAACACAGCTCGAGTATGCGGGAACTAGGACTTTTTCTCAAAACCGAGCGGCCGCGTAAGCGGCCACGCGACATCTCTCTATATACAAAGTGATCAATGGGAAGTAAACCACCCAGTCTTTCTCCCTGAAAATCAGAGTTAAGTTTGGAGCACGGCCACAGCCCCAGAAACACAAGGACTTAATGCAGAACCCAGCAGCTTGGAGCAGAAAAGTGAACGGACTATGCGTTAATCCAGGCCATCATTTCTGCCCAGAGGAGAAAGGGTGTTGCCCCATTCGCCCTCTCTTCTCTGGAAAGAAGGATGGCGGCCGCATGGGAGCCTTGTGGACAGCAGGTATGAGCCGGGGGTGTGGGGGCGACTAAAACCTCATGGGAAGGGGGGCGTTCCGGTCCATCCTTCACGCCCTACCGAGGTCACCGGTTGCCCCCCACGAACGGCTCTCCAGCACGGCCACGGCCCCAGAAGCACAAGGACTTAATGCAGAACCCGGCAGCTTGGAGCAGAAAAGTGAACGGACTATGCGTTAATCCAGGCCATCATGTCTGTCCGGAGGGGAAAGGGTGTTGCCCCATTCGCCCTCTCCTCTCTGGAAAGAAAGATGGCGGCTGCATGGGAGCCTTGTGGACAGCAAGTATGAGCCGGGGGAGTGGGGGCGACTAAAACCTCATGGGAAGGGGGCGTTTCGGTCCGTCCTTCACGCCCTACCGAGGCCACCAGTTGCCCCCCACGAGCGGCTCTCCAGCACGGCCACGGCCCCAGAAGCACAAGGATTTAATGCAGAACCCAGCAGCTTGGAGCAGAAAAGTGAAAGGACTATGCATTAATCCAGGTCATAAAGTCTGCTGGAGGGGAAAGGGTGTTGCCCCATTCGCCCTCTCCTCTCTGGAAAGAAAGATGGCGGCTGCATGGGAGCCTTGTGGACAGCAAGTATGAGCCGGGAGAGTGGGGGCGACTAAAACCTCATGGGAAGGGGGGCGTTTCGGTCCGCCCTTCACGCCCTACCGAGGCCACCAGTTGCCCCCACGAGCAGCTCTCCAGCACGGCCACAACTCCAGAACACAGAAACCAATTTCTTAACTATCTGACTTTCAGTAGAAATACTTCCAGGGTCAATAGGTAAAATAGCAGAAATCCAAAACCAACATTTAATTCTTGAACCCAGCTATAGAAAGCAAATCACTTCACAATGCTTTTTCAGCATGTCTGATTTGGGGGGGGGGGTAAACTCTAAATAATAGTGGTGAATCTTTTATTGAAACAATGAATCTAATCAAAGCAGATAGAATATTAACTAGAATTCATCGCCCTCACAGGGATGGGGAGGGGTGGGGGGTGGGGTTTTATTGGGGTTCTTCATGGTAAAAAATAAGTATTGGTTAAAGGGAAACGTGTTTGATATTTGCATGACTGAGACCTAAACCTGAAAGCTTTGTAACCTTTCCCACAGTGATTCAATAAATAAATAAATAAATAAATAAAATAAAATAAAAATAAAACAAACTAATATAACCATCTCCATCTCTATTTTCTTCAATGTGATTATTAATATGGTAGAAAGTCTAAAATATTGCTGTATGTTTTATATTTTTCTTCCAGTGCCCAAGAATGCACTTTATTTTTTTGTTAATTTTTATTAAAAATATCATGACTGACAAAGTTCTTCATTATACAGTTGTTTCAAGCATTTAATGTTTCAACACCATCAGTGTGGTCTTTCCTCCACCAGTATCCCAAGTTTCCCTCCCAACCCCAACCTGCCCCCTTAGGTACATAAAAAAAATTAGGGTCTGGAGCAATAGTACAGTGGGTAGGACGTTTGCCTTGCATGCTGTTGACCCGGGTTCGATTTTCAGCATCGTATATGGTCCCCTGAGTACAACCAAGAGTAATTCCTGAGTGCAGAGCCAGGAGTAACCCCTGAGCATAGCCAGGTTTGACCCCCCCCCCAAAAAAACCTTTATATTGCTTACTCCAACAAAATTTTAAGGAATGTTAAATAAAATAATCAGAAAATAAGTCAGTAAGAGCCAATTTGTGATAACTATATGATTTTGACCTATGTGAATAAGAAAATTAAAACCATTTAATACAATATATTAAAATGCTTATACAAAGGAATGCACTTTAGATATAAAATACAAAGAGGTTAAAAATAAAAAAGAGTCATATTATAAGAAGATACTCATATCCCATCTAACTTTCTGAAATGCCCAGTTATCATTTAAAATAGTCCCACCTGGGAGGCAGAGCTACTAAAAATAGTCAAGTAGAGTTGATAGAATAGTGTCAGGTCAGCCTGGATCCTAGACTGACTGTAAGAACAGGAGACCAGAGTAGGCGCCCTGGCTTGAACATGGAAGAAGGTGCTCACTTCCACCTCTGTTCCTGTTCCTCCGCCTCCTTCCCACTCTGCTCCCTCCATTAGACCCAGCCGAAACACTGCTCTCCACCAATCCAAGTGCCATTCATTCTTTCAAACTCAGTTCTCTGGGCTAGAAGCACTTGGATCTTTGTTAGAAAGATTAACTGAACAGACTCCAGAAACTGAGTGAAGGACCATGCTCCCAAATATGCCATGCCCCAAGATTCACACAGCAATAGCATCTTCATCTGCAATTCAACTGAGAAATATAGATCGCCAGGCCTCCCAAACCTCAAATATCTACTTACTCAGGGGCCGGAGCAATAATAAAGTGGGTGGGTCCTTAATGCAAAACCAGGAGAGTAAGCCCTGAGCATTGCCACGTATAGCCACAAAACCAAAAGAAGTAAAAAACAACAAAAAACCAAACACAGCAACTTCTCTCAGCAACATCTTCACAAGGTGTTTACAAGGTCACACATTATAAAGTTTCACTATAAAAACTACTAATTAGTGTTTCCTTTAGGATAGCAAAAGCCACTGCAATAAATTTTTTAAAAATTTAAAAGACAAGCTGACAGTAACATTCTTACTACAGTCCACAAATAGGGAGGTGTGAAGAGTAACTTCCCAAAGTCTTCTCAGCCTGCCTCCCTATGGACAGGACTGCCAGTGACCTTTGAGACAAGACACCAGTTTGGGATCACTCTCCAAAGTACACAGGGCGGAGTCATTAGTTCAGTAGAGTTCTTAAAGGGACTCTGGAAAGAAACATGGAGCCTGACATAGTGAGGATAGGGGAGAGAGGAGAGAGAGAGAATCTGAATTCTGACACATCTTGAGAGATAATATAGGGGTTAAGGCCTTTGCCTTACATCCCACTAAGCCCAGTTCAAATCCTCAGCACTGCACCACCAGGGGTCACTCCTGAGCACAGAGCCAGGAATAGCCCTTAAGAACAGCTGCTATGGCCAAAAAAAAAAAAAAAATTACAGAAGTATCATCCAGGGGTTAACAGAGAAGAGCAATATGAAACGTCAAGAGCACTTTATTAATCCTCCAATTTGTTCTGCATGCATAACTGCGCCTTACTCCTCTGATTAACTAATCCCTGCAATTCAATTCCATGCTTGCAGGTGTTCTGCCCATCCATCCAAGAGGCATGCTTGACCTCCATTTTCCACATCGAATCACACGTATCATCACATCCTGTTGGTACTCCCTGGAGAACAGAGCCAAAATCCAATCACTTCTCACTGCCTCGAATCAACCACTTTACTTCCGACCATGGTCAACTTACACATCGATATTTCCAGAGGCCCTTAGCCAGCCTCACCGTTTCTGCCTTGCCTTCTCCCGGCTATTCTCAGCACAGTAGTCAGGGTAATTCTGTAAAGATAGATCATGCCACTATTCCAACCTTCCAGCTGTTCTCTTCTCTCTCCTCATAACAGCCAAGGTTGTTACAGTTTCCTTAATTCATTCTATGTATAAACAAAGTCAAAGAATGAAACCAGAAACCTACTAGGAATGTCTGGACAAAACTATAGCCACTACCTTTATTTTAGTTTTCTATTTATTTATTTTGCTTTTTGTATGACACCCGGCAATGCACAGGGGTTACTCCTGGCTCTGCACTCAGGAATTAATCACTGGCAGTGCTCAGGGGACCATATGGG